CATACATACTGTGATTTTTTCACGCTGACGATTTTTTGTGTGAACGCAGAGAAGCCCACTTTCCCTCAAAAATGGCTCCCCTTAAACTGAAAAATTTCAAAAAAAACTTGAAATTTACTCTTCCGTATTTATTTGCCCACTCAACTTCAGTCACCATTTGACCCCGTTTCATCTGCTCCCAGATGTTTCCCAGAAAAGGGACTGGACTTGGTCCATTGATGTTTCTACTTGACCAGTAGCTGTACTTGCGTTTTGTATGGCTGGTAAAGAATAAGATATTACTGAACTGCAATAAATTAATAAAAAAAACTTACAAGTAAACAAACGTCAAAATGACAACAACACTGCTGACTAAAAGAACTAAAAAATCCATTTTTCAAACAAAAATTGTTATTGCATTGTTTGCATCCCAAAAGCAATGTATAAATACTAGCCATGTAACTGCTTTTGGCTTATCAGTCTGTCGGTTGTCTGCAGATAAAGTGCTTTATAAGTTTGCTTTTGAGTAGTGGGAGCTTACTTTGTGCTAAACATCAATGAAGATTGCTTTGTTTGGCAGTAGCTGCAAACGCAATCAAAACGCTACTTGATAATCAAGTTGGTCTAGAAAGAAAAGAACGGCTAATTTTAACGTACAAGCACTTTCGAGTGCAATGTTCTGACGTGTTTCAGACGTTTTTTATTTGCATAAATCCTGGATTTTAAAGTTTTTTTTTGAAATGCAAATGTTTGCATAAAATTAAAAATTTTAACGTAAATGGCGTGATTTTGTGTGCCATAAAATCTTGGTTGATCTGTTCGTTTTAGCAATTGATTGCCTATATAAAGTGGCAATCAGATGAACTTTTTTAGATTTAAAAACAGCATTGCCACACCATGAACAGTCTTTCCGAACTGGACTTTATGTCTGAACTGGAATCTACAGCTGCTGCTGATGATGACAAACAAGATGATGATTTTCAACAGTCTGGTGACATTTGTGAGCAGCAGCCGTTTGAGCGAACTATCACCAAGCCAGTCAAACGAGAGATCGTTTGGTCGATGGTAGTCAAACTGGCAGTCTTTCACATCTTCGGCATCTCTGCCTTCTTCCTCGCCCCCTTCACCGCCAACTACACTATTCTCTTTGGCGCACTGCTTGTCTTTTCAAACATTTTTGGCATTCAAATTGGAGCCCATAGGCTGTGGAGCCACAAAAGCTTTCAGGCGACATTTGGGCTACGCCTCTTCTTAGCCGCCTGTCAGACGATGGCCATGCAAAATAGCATCTACGATTGGGTGCGTGATCATCGAGTGCACCACAAGTGGTCGGATACAGACGCCGATCCTCATAATGCTACCAGAGGGTTCTTTTTTAGTCATATGGTAAGCGTTTTATTCAACTTTCTCAACGAATAACAAAAGTATCGTTTTTTAGGGTTGGCTTATGGTTCGTAAGCACCCTGAAGTGATGCTCAAAGGCGCCACCGTTGATATGAAAGACTTGAACGCCGACCCAATAGTGACTTTCCAGCATCGACACTATGGTCCGCTCGTACTGCTGCTTAATGCAATCATACCCACTCTGATTCCAGTCCTGTTGTGGAAGGAACATGCACTGATTGCCTTCCTCAACTGTGTACTCTACCGGTACCTTTTCACCTTTCACGTGACACTGATGACCAACTCTTGGGCGCACATGTACGGCACCAAGCCGTACAACAGAAAACTGGCGCCGGTGGAGGCCTCAACGAGGCATCTCATGTTTGGTGAGGGTTTTCACAACTACCACCACGCTTTTCCTTGGGACTACTCAGCCAGCGAACTTGGACCACTAGACGTTTTCAATCCGGCGACGGCGCTCATTGACTGCTTTGCCCACCTCGGATGGGCGTCCAATTTGAAGAAGCCAACAGCTGCTTTGGTGAAGAGAACGATTCAGTCTAATGGTGACTTCAGCTTAGGCTACAGCAAAGGCCACGGTGCCTGGGACTGGTTTTGGGGACTGGCCTCAACGACGTTGCCTTTCACCAGTCAGTTTGCCTACAAGTACGCCTTTCTTTATCTGTTCACCCGTTACAATCAGAAATGTACTTTCTAAACTACTACTATTTATCAATAAATGTGCTTTGCAATCCAATCTCTAAAATCGACAATATTTGTGTAGACACCTGGATATTGAGCGCACAGTCGGCCAAAACTGACTAGTCCTATTGCAGTTGTCTGAGGGCCAACCTTCTTGACCAAACTACCGCCAGAGTCGCCTGGTGAAAAAATAAAATTAGTGCTTAACTTTTTTAGTGGTATTGAGTTGAACACACCTGAACAGCTATCCTTGCCATCCTTGCCGTAGCACAACGTCTGATTGCTCATGTATATTTTCAACTTGTCAGCGTACACATGGTAGCAGTCATTGTGTTCAATTAAACTGACAGTTACCCGTCTCAATCTTTTCTCTACTTCGCCATTGAAAAAGTCAGTGTAGCCCCAGCCTGCAACATCTGCAGTCGCCGGTGGGAACTCCACCTTGGCAGTATTGTACGGCGGCAGGCAGATGGTGTTCACCTGATAGGCGGAATCACTCTTCCGAATCTCAATCGGCGAGGCACTTCTCAGCAGAGCAATGTCATTGAAGAAAGTGCCACCGTTAAAGGCTTCGTGTCTGATTAGCTTTTCAATGGCGTACCGGTCGCCCGCCGACTGGTTGCCGATGTCATTGGTGCCCGCTACGGCGACCACCTTATTCACTACTCCCTTTGTTATGATTCTATAAGTAAAACATGATTAGATAATTTAAGTAGTGTTTTAGCTTCTTCTATTTACTTAGTGAAACAGTGTGACGCACTAATCAACCATCTATCGGAAATGATTGAAGCGGCACAAAAGTGTTTTCCGTCCAGCTGAAGAGACACGAGCCAGGGAAATTCGCCCTCACCGGCAACAACCCCATTGACAATGGTGCCACCTTTGAGACGATTTCTTCCACAATTTTTTTTGTAAGCATCAACTAGAGGGATGTCAACTTCTTGAGAGACAACTTTTCTCACTAAGAACTGTAAAAGAAAAGCTGAAAGAAGGAAATCTGAAGAAAGCAAAACTTTAACAAATTTAATTTACATTTAAATATAAAAAATTTACCAGGCAGAGTCGTCATCATTGATATAGTAAAAGCATTGCCATAAAAACAGTGGCACTCTTTTAAAGGGCACCAAAACACTAGTAAATAGGTTCATTAACCAGAATGCTAATTTGCAAAAATCGATCGTGTTTAACACGATCAGCAACATTTACTAGAGTGAACCTTGACATCTTTTTACAAAACAGTACAAGTTATACTGTAATAAGTTTAACCTCGTCGGTTGACCTTCAGCTCAAATGGATCCACCACCATCAGACCGACAGGAACAAAGGTGAGCTTCTTTGGCGTTTTTGGCGTCTCAACAAACTGGTACTTCTGCACGACCTTGGCCAGACACACCTTCACTTCTTGGAGGGCGAACCGCATGCCGACACTGTAAAAAGTTTTTAAGTACACTTTTAAAACAAGGTAGAAACTTAAAAACCCGAATTTTTTTACCAGTTGCGGGGACCCTGTCCGAAGGGATTGTAGCTGTAGGGCACAATGAGATGCTTATTCTCCGGAAGGAATCTCTCCGGCTGAAAGGACTCAGGGTCGGGGAACAAATCCGGGTCATGTTGCATTGCGTACTGGGACACGTAGACCATTTGATTTTTCTGCAAAGTCACTCCGCCCAGTTTGTATCCGCTGACGCCTGCTCGTCTTTCGAGTCGATTCACAGGTGGGTACNGTAGCTGTAGGGCACAATGAGATGCTTATTCTCCGGAAGGAATCTCTCCGGCTGAAAGGACTCAGGGTCGGGGAACAGCTCCGGGTCATGTTGCATTGCGTACTGGGACACGTAGACCATTTGATTTTTCTGCAAAGTCACTCCGCCTAGTTTGTATCCGCTGACGCCTGCTCGTCTCTCGAGTCGATTCACAGGTGGGTATTTTCTCAGCGTTTCACTGACAACGGCGTTCAGGTATGGCAGTTTGTTCATCACAGTATCGTAAAAGTCATCGCTCTCTAATTTGACATTGCAAAGTTCTTCGTAGAGTCGTTCCTGAACTGTTGGGTCCTTTGCCAGTTCGTACAAGAGATAAGTTAAAGTGGAGGCTAAAAATGACGATTAAAACTTGTTCAAAACTGAATTAGTTTAAAATTTACCAGTTGTTTCAAATCTAAAATGAATAATAAAAACACAAATTAAAATTATAATTAGAAATCTTTTAAAGTAAGTATTTACCCTTGTAGCACATTTATATAAGTGTTTTAAAAGTTTGCAATAAAAAAATTAATATTACATGTAAAGCCAAACAAAATCTTACCGGCAATCTAAAGAAAAACAAAGTTTTAAAAATAACTCCTTAACGAAAAATGCATTTCTCACAAAAAATATCATGCACTGAGCATATACTTCGTCATCGTCCAATTTTTTCACTAGTTTTGAATGGCCAGTGTTAGCTTGAGGAGTTTCAACTACTTCATCTGTTAAATAAAGTGAAATTTTTAAATTGCACAATCCGGCCTTTTATTATCACTTTACTCACCATCTTTGTCATCATTTGCTGTAAACTTATTGTAATCATCGCTCTTCAGTTCTTCTTCACTCACTGAGGCATTCACCAGCAAGTCAATAAAGTCGTTTCTGCGAACACCTGTTGTTCGTCGTTGTTTGACAATCTCCTGTGACATCTCTCCGATGAAACCACCTTCCGGTTTGCCTGCTCTCCTTCGTTTGTAAATCCATTTAAGTACAGACATTGGAACAAAGTGCTTTATGACGGTGCCTAATAAGTTAAAGGCAAACATCTCTGTGGCAGTCTTCACGAATGGATTCTCTTCGCTACGATCATCATTTGCCTTGCTATCAAATCCAAAACTCGTCGAACTAATGACATCAATAGTACTATTGATTTTACATACAATTGTACAATACAATTTGTAATTAGTTTACATATCTATTGTCAAATTGTACATTGATTTTACATACAAACCAGAAATAACTTTCTTGACTTCAATAGCTTCACCGTTTTTGCTGACTTTCTCAAAGTAGTTCATCAGTTTTCCGACAGCCTGCTCCATCAAGGGAGTCATTGTTCTAAGTTTGCCACTAGTAAAAGCTGGGCTTGTAATAGCTCTTTGAAAATCAAAGGTTTAAAGAAAATGTCAGAAAAATATTGAAACTAAATTCCAATAGTACCTCACTCTCTTCCAGTGTTCATTCTCAAGAAAGAAAAGCATCTTATTTGTTTGTCCTCCGCCGGGAAAGGGGGCACGATTAACAAACAGAGAAAAATCTTTCACCTGTAAAATTGCAAAATTAATTAAAATAAAGTTGTNTAAATTCCAATAGTACCTCACTCTCTTCCAGTGTTCATTCTCAAGAAAGAAAAGCATCTTATTTGTTTGTCCTCCGCCGGGAAAGGGGGCACGATTAACAAACAGAGAAAAATCTTTCACCTGTAAAATTGCAAAAAAAACACCTGAATGATTAGGAAGTGGGCTTTAATATCAATTTACCATAATTTGCTTGACCAGTTCAGGATCAACTATTGTCAAGCTAGGCTCCAGTTTATCATTGAACGTTCCATAAATCTTTCCGAAATTTTGGAACCACTCCAACTCACACCTTTGTTGACCTTTCCAGTATTTTTCCCATTCATTTCCAAAAAGTGGCAATGCAAGTGGTCCATTTATTCCAAGTTTTTTCCAGTAGCTGATTTTTTGATAGTAGTAACTTTTGAAAAAACTTTAATGTTATTTTGTATAAAACTTTTTTAACTAAAAAATACTCACAAAAAGACGATCAGTAAAACGGCTAATATCTGGCCAAGAAAAAGTGTCCAAAAATCCATTTTGCTTTTGGTTAGTAGACAAAGTCTCTGTCATTATAACATGCATACAACTTTTAATTTATATGTTTTTTAAATCACTCATTGCACAAAGTACAATCTTATCATCTAGAGTTAATCTTCATCACCTTAAACTCACATGGGATTGGGTTGTTAGTTTCACCACTATTGCAATTATGCCCTAAAGGACAGTTTTCTGGACATTCAAAAGACGAAATGATTGAAAATTAATTACAATTTAGTTAACAAAATTAAAAAAACACTAACAAAATTACGTTCATTTGCCAAAAGTCATGCTTGTTGAACAGCAGGTTTACATTGCTTATCGCTAACCATCATCATATTATCCACAATGACAAAAGAGGACCGTTCTGATAAGGGCTTCTGCTGGCAGCCACAATTGTTTTGGTTGTTCCACTAAAGAGCATAGTAAATTACTCATTGACTGGTAGGCAGTACCACACACAAAATTGTTGAGAGGGGAAGTCAAGTGTACAACAAACTTTATCCGAAACCTAACAGGCCCATTCAGATAAAGCCTTCCTCGTTTAGTGTGACGTCTTTTTTTATATCATACTAACTTTTGACTGTGTGTTTTTATGTTGTTTAAATGTCAAACTCCAATAACAAAATTTACATTTGTCACTTTAAATTGTAACTCAAATTAAAAAGCTAGTTTAACAAATTATAAATTTAAATGTTTTAAAATGCTAATTTTGCACAAATGTAAACAAAAGAATAATAATTTTACGCAAATAGAATCAACAGAAGAAAGAATGCTAAGTAAAAACAATTGAAATGATGTTAATAAAGTCTTCAGTCATGCACAAAAAAGGCAACAATGTGTGTTTCAGGTTTTGTATGTATAACAATAGTACACAGCATAATGCACACACACGCACAATTTTTGTGTTTAAAAAAGAAGTTGACCTTCAACAGGCTAAAAAAGCATCTTAGTAGTAATTAACAAACTTTTTAATTGACTATTTTTGTGCATCGAAATCAAACCTAACATTTGGTTCATTCTACACCTGGTTAGGCTGGTGGCACTATTGGCCAGAAGATTTACAGCCAATAACAAAATGGGAAAGTTTGACTTTAATTTTACTGAAGAAGAAAAAATCGGACAAAATGATAAAGAAGAAAAAAACAATGGCAGAAAGAAAATGTTGATAGCTTTTCTCAAGTTTATGGCCTTAACGGTGGTCACATTAGTTCTGCTTTACGTAATTAAATTCAACTTCTACAAAAATAAAAACCACGATTTAATTCTTCAAGATGTAATGAATAACAGGTTCAACAGTTGAGTTTGATATTTTCGTTGATTTTCAGATATTTAATAACGATAATAAAAAATACTATAATTTTTGCAGATAAACTAAACGAAATGGCCACTCGTCGTGAGTTTGTCACTGAACTTGCGCGTTCATCCTGGGCAGCCTACGTCAAGTACAACTGGGGCGACAATGCACTTGAGCCAGTGAGCGACACCTTTGACCGAAAGTTCAGCGGCAGTCAGATTGGCCACAAAGGCGGGAGGACGATATTCGCCTCACTGAGCACCTTCTTGGTGATGGGCCTTGAGAAGGAGTTTGCCCAGGGCAAGCAGTGGATAGTGGGCAACTTTTCCTTTGAGAACACCAACACCTACGCAAACATCTTTGGTCATGTGACGCACTACATCGGCGGACTGCTGTCTGCCTATGCACTCACCGGTGATGAACTGTTTCTGAAGAAGGCCGAAAAATTTGCAGTTCGCATAGAGTCCGCCTACAACACCTCCACTGGCATTCCTCGCAGTCTCTTCAATTTGAAAGACCTCAGCACCATCAATCCGTACCCGTCGCTGAGCACCATCGGTGGCCAGTATCTGGAGCACGCCTACCTCTCCGACCTGACTGCCAAACCGCAGTACCGGCAGCAGGTGACTCGAATACGAGAGCATCTGGAAGCGGCTGCTAAGCCAAATGGCCTGTACTACGCCCGAATGAACATAAACGGTCAGTGGGACGCACAAACTTCATCGCTGTTTGGCGACTCCGGCGGCCACTACTACCGAAACCTCCTTCTGTCGTACATTCAGTCGGGACAGTCGGAGCAGAGCATTGACGCCCTTGAGGCGTATCGAGACGCAATTGAGGCCATGGACCGTGCACAGATGTTCAAAGAGGAGAGCAACGGCATCATTTGGGTGAGGGAGTACGACGCAGCGAGGAAGCAGTTTGGCGAGGTGATGGAGTACTCTGCCTGTCTGGCTGGGGCCATGCTCATTCAGGGGGCGACGGTGATGCAGAGTTTGGGTGGCACTGAGGAAGAGAAGGCGACAGCGAAAAAACAAATAAAANGACGCAGCGAGGAAGCAGTTTGGCGAGGTGATGGAGTACTCTGCCTGTCTGGCTGGGGCCATGCTCATTCAGGGGGCGACGGTGATGCAGAGTTTAGGTGGCACTGAGGAAGAAAAGGCGACAGCGAAAGAACAAATAAAGAGGCACTCCAAACTGGCGGACAAACTGACGGAGACGTGCTACCAAGCGTCAATGCAGGCAGCCCTCAGATTAGGGCCCAGAGAGTTTCAGCCGCAGAACAACTTTAAAGTGGTCACGTCGGATTTTCTTTTGAGGTAATTTTGTAAAATTAATTGTAGCTGCTTCATACTAATCTTACTCAAAATTCAGTCCTGAACTAGCTGAAAGCTACTTTATCCTCTGGCGACGCACCCGTGACCCTAAGTACCGTCAGATGGCCTGGGAGATGGCACAGGCAATTGGAAAGTACTGTCGAACTGATAGAAACGGTTTCTCCGGACTGAAGGATGTCAACAATCCAAAAAGTGGCTGGACAAACCACCAGCCTGCTGACTTTTTCAGCGGAACACTTTTGTATCTGTATTTGACGTTTTCAGATGACAACGTTCTGCCTTTAGATCAGTGGATTTTCAATTCAGTCGGTCATCCACTGCCCATCTGCGGGAAGCACAAAGCTTACCCGGCAAAGTTGTGCAAATCGTGACGAGTGTATTTTATTGAAGTTTGTACATGTTACAAATACTTTGAGAGATTTTAAGTAGTCCAACTGTTGTTTTTATTTGCCGTACTTGCCCTTTCCACCCCCTCTGCCACCGCCTACAAAACATAAATTAGTTTTAAAGATTGCTCCATATAACTACTTTGACTAACCATAACCGCTCATTTTCATTCGATGACCACCACCGCCATATCCTTTGTAAAAAAATTTGATTAAAAAGTGAATGCATTAGAGTGATTTGTAGTATTTACCACCACCACCACCGCCATGACGACGACCACCGCCACCACCACCACCATATTTCATGCGACCACCGCCTCCCCGTTTTCCACCTTAAAAAATTTGTAAGTAAATTGTTTCTGAAGATAGAGTTTTTCTGCGATTCTCACCTCCACCACCATAGCCAGCAAAAACAGTGGCCAAGAAAAGGACAAAAATGGTTACGAAAAGAGCTAACTTCATGTTTTTTTGAGTGGTAGACGATTGCTAGCTGATGAGCTGATGCTGGCAACTTTCCTGAAAGACGACTTTATATACGCTAAAACTGGCCTTAAAAGTAATTGAGGAAATGCGGAATAAAAGAGAATGTACTTGAAAAGTACATAGCATTTGTTTTGTAAAGCAGACTGCAGTGGTCTACTGCAGGAGTTCACTGAATCGGTAATGATGGTCAAGCGTGCCATAAATTGATGGCAACAAAATACTGTGAGTTGAGAACAAATTGAGACGATCACCTCGCCACTACTGTTGATGTGACCTTTCATCCTTTGCAATTGATAGCTGAGAAATAGAGGCCATTGTTGCTGTTATTTTTACTTCATTGGAAGGCTACGTAATGAGTCAGGAAGAAAAAAGTAGCCTTTTTATATAATTCATTACCACACTGTCCTTCTCAACAGGTGAATGCTGCTTAATCTTTGTAATGCTTTTTTCTGTTTGAAATGCTATTTTGGGCTTTCAAAAATAAACAAAGATATTTAGATATGGTTTTTACTTTACAGTGCGGCCTAGCACTAAGATCACATTTTATTAATTTTTGCGCTTTTCCCACTTATCATATTTGAAGCACACAGTGTGGAGTAATATTAATGGGGTACTAAAGCACTCTGTTTGTCTGGGCTACGTTTGTTCTCTGAACTGTAACGTACACAGCCGTCTGCTCATTTGAGGGTTCTCACAGACAAGTAGAAGCAGAGAGTCAAGTCGGAATCCAAATCCTAACTTTTCCTTCAGTGCACTGTGACAGTTGGACAAACCAAAAGAGAAGCGCAACAGTCAGTGTGCAGTGAAGAAACAGTTGGGATTTGGATTCAGCTTGGATTCTCTTTCTCTAAAGTCCAAACAATGACTGTGTGAAAAAACGCTTGAACAAGCACACTGCATGTTGTTTTTGTTTATGTTTGATAAACTCACCAAATTCATCTTATTTGACATTCTTTCTGCTGAAATTTCTTGGCTTTAATCAACTTTTATTTTGCTTGAAAACTCTAAGAATATCTGTACGTTTACTTAAAACTTGTCGCACAT